CGCCTCCACTAATGGCACCTTAAAGTCCGTGGTTCATATTGATCTTCTCCTGATCAAGATCATTTTTTTGTCCTACTGCTGATTTCCTTCCTATGTGATCTCATTTTGGCAAGATCTTTATATTGATTTTTTTTTTCTACCGCTGATCTCATTGTTCACTGTTACCATGGGTGGGGATGATAAAATCTCTACTGCTACTGTTTCTTCTCCCTCAAAGGAGAATCTACTTCCTAGAACTTTGATTGCCACTACTGTGAAGTTGATTGGAGATAACTATTTACTATGGGCTCAAGTTTTTCGTGTGTTGGTTGGTGCTCAGAAGAAGTTGAATCATCTCCTGGAGGAGGCATGTACTACTTGGACGATAGTGTGCCACAGTCTGGTCTTACAGCAAGTCTTTGTGATACTCCTTTATAGTGGCACGGGCATTTAGGACATCCCTCTTTACAGAAGCTTCATTCAATATAATCTATCGAGTCATTCGTTTTATCTCTAGACTGTGAGTCATGTCAGTTAGGAAAGCATAGGCATATTTTAGATGTATCTCAAACCATAATGATTCATATGCATGTCCCAAAATATTTATGGTCTGATGCTGTCTTGTGTGCATGCTATTTGATTTCTTCTGTTCTTTATGGAAAAATTGCTTTCTCATGTATGTTTCCTAATAAAATCATGTTTGCTATGATTCCTCTGGTTGCACTTGTTTCGTTCAAAATATGCGTCCTAATCTATATAAATTATCTCTTAGATCTATCAAGTGCGTTTTCTTAGGGTACTCTAGAACACAAAAGGGATATCGGTGTTATGATCCTACATCTCGGAAGTATTTTACTTCTGCAAATGTTACTTTTTTTAGTCCATTCCATATAATTCATCCATGTGTACAAGGTCACCTTCTATCTCTGTTCCTCTACCTCAACCGGTACCACCTGCTTGTGTTCCCCTTGCTCAGCCAGTGCCAAGTTCTAGAGTTGAAAAAAAATAATGCATCAAAACCAGTTCTGGTGTATATTAGAAGGCCAAAAGTATTTGCACCTCCTTTACCTTCGGCCGATCATCCGTCTGCAGCCAAAGGTTCTACCCATCAGCAGCCATCTAATCTATCTGACCTTAATGTGCCTATTGCTCTACGGATAGGTAAACGATCTACTTCTGCTCATTCGGTATCTCATTTTGTCTCCTGTGATCGTCTTACCTCATCTTTTCGCCAGTTTGCTTTGTCCTTGTCTTCTGTTTCTATACCCAAATCTTATCAAAAAGTTGTGTTAGTTCCTGCCTGGAAGCAGGCGATGGATGAGGAGATGGATGCACTTATTTCTAGGGGGGCTTGGGATGTAGTTCATACTCCTTCAAGAGTAGATATTGTCGGTTGTCGCTGGGTCTTCATTGTGAAATATAGGCCGGATGGATCCATAGACAGATACAAAGCTAGATTGGTTGCAAAAGGATTTGCTCAGACATATGGGGTTGATTATTTTGAGACCTCTCTTGTCGCTCGTCTCAATTCCATCCGTATTTTGTTCTCTATTGTTGTTATCTCAAATGGCTTATGTTTCAGCTTGATGTGAAGAATGCATTCTTGTATGGTGATCTCCAAGAAGAGGTTTATATGGAGCAACCTCTAGGATATGTTGCTCAGGAGGAGTCTTATGTATGCAAGCTTAAGAAGACGATCTACGGACTCAAACAGAGTCCACGAGCTTAGTTTGATAAGTTCAGTCAAGTGATATCTAATGTTAGTTTTTAGCGATGTCATTCAGATCACTTAGTTTTTGTTTGCCGCACTACTTTGGGGACAATAATCTTGATCGTGTATGTTGATGATATTTTGCTGACTGTGAGTAATACAAATAGTTTAGCAGAAACCAAAGAATATCTCAAGCAACATTTCGTGACCAAAGATATGGGAAATCAAAATACTTTCTTGGGATTGAAGTTGCGTATCAAAAACACGGGTTAATTCTCTCAAGAGAAGTATGCCCCAGATCTTCTAGAGGAGACTGGTCTTCTGGGTTGCAAACCGGCTGGTACACTGATGGAAGCTAAGGTGGATTTTTAGGATGAGAAGAGTGATCTTTATAAGGACGCTAGGCTGTATAAGAGGCTAATTGAAAAGTTTATCTATCTCACAGTCACGAGGCCTGATATATCATTTGTTGTGGGGCTTTTGAGTCAGTTCATGCACATGCCTAGAGAGGTTCACTGGGAAGCACTTATGAGGATTTTTGCCTATATCAAAAGCTCTCCTGAAAAGGGCTTATTGTACAAGAAGCATGAACATGTACAAATCTTTGCCTATTCAGACTCGAACTATGCTGGAGATAAGAGCGACTGAAAATCTACTACTGATTATTGCACATTTGTTGGTGGTAATTTAGTAACTTGGAGGAGCAAGAAGCAGGAAGTAGTATCTCGGTCTAGTGCAGAGGCCGAATATAGAGCTATGGCACATACTACTTGTAAGATGATGTGGTTGCAGAACTTGATGACAAAGCTCGGTTTTGTTCAACCAGGACCGATGATCATGCATTGTGATAATCAGTCTGCTATCTATATTGTAAAAAATCATGTTTTTCATGAAAAGACAAAACACATAGCTGTTGATTGCCATCTAATTAGAGATGTCATAATGAAAGACGTGATCTGCACTCCATATACACATTCAGAACAATTGGCAGATATTCTCACCAAAGCTACTTCTTTGAAGATGTTCTCAGTTATCTGTAGCAAGATGGGCTTAATAGATATCTACGCTCCAGTTTGAGGGGAGTGTTAGATTTAGTATTGTGTGCTTATTGGGCAGTGGATATGAACACACATACTACCCGGTTGTATTTATATATATTACTCTCCTTCAAAGAATAAAAATCTATCTGAGTATTTTACAACTTCTACAATGCTTTCATTATTAAACCAATATAATAATTAGTCTTTACTCTACAAAGGTTTGAAAAAGAGCTGAGGAAAAAGGGTCAATGTAGTTAACTCATTTCGAGCAAAAAAGGGGTTAAATTAGTAAAAATGTTTGGTATAAAATATACTAACATTTGCCCTCTGCTTAAGTATCTGGAAAGAAAAAGGATATGACCACCTTCCTTTATAGACTGAGGAGTAATTCTTTTTTAATACTTCTATAGATCCAAAGTAGTGAGCCCCTAAGTTAGTGGTTAATTCCTCCTAAACTATTTCAATGGAATATCTTAAAAACTTATTATCATTTCTGAGTTTGAAAATAAAAGTACTGGTTAACCTCCTTCACTCCATGTATACATTCTTCGTGTTTGTAGTCAAAGGAAGATCAACATTCCACAACCCCTCAAATAATCTGTCGCCAAACGGCACCTAAAAGTTGCATTACCTTTGACAGACTCATTCTGAAAGGCCACCACAAGTTTTTCATTTCTTTAGAGGATCGATAATAATAATAATAAAGACCAGTTCTCAATGAAACTCAATGATACGGATCGCTCTTGGTTATTGTTAGTAATGCATGCATTTAACTTTGTATACAGAGTGAAAACTAAACCATCACTAAGTCGAAAACATGCTTTACTTTCCAATGAAGGAAACATCTTATAAACAATCCACATCATCATCAATATTAGAGTAAAATTCCTCAATGAAATCATGCAAATCTATGTTTGGATGCATGGGTCAATCAAATCAAATAATTGCATATTTCTATCTGCCAAGGTATCAAATTAGAAAAAGTGAAGTACATGTTAAATTTAACATTTTAGCAGGGAAATCTTATCAAGTTTAACATGGATGCTGGATCATGAAGATGGTCACAAAAAGATCATACCAGTCGAAGCCTTCGAAGCTCTCTTTTTGCAAGTTTCTGTCTCCAGGCACATTGAATGGACACAGCAGCACGTCGATGTTGACAGAAAGCCACATAGGCCATCCGCATCCTCCACCATGCCTGCGTAAGAACATCCAAAAAGGAACTTGATCAATTAGAAAATTTAATGACAGTGACTAATACATTGCTTGCTGCCGAACATAATCATGGCAATGATAGTGATAATATAGAGATCTTCACGTACTACTCAATAATACATTAAGACTTTCAACGAATTTTTAAGAATTAGTATATAGATGAATATCTTCTGATGAGTACAAGAATTCTGGAAGAGAAAACATATCTTCTATCAAACATCAAAGTATTGCTTCTGCTTAAAGAACAGGTATAACGGCACTTCGTTTAATAATTATTATATAACCTGGATTAGCGTGGCCGCCCTATGTTCCTTCAGGTGTGTGAATTTATGGCGAACAGAAAAACTGCGAATACTAGACTGAATAATCAGAACTGCTGAATGGACATGCAAGAAAGCACGCCGCAGCAACCATTTCCGGACATGTTTCTGAATCACAACTGTTGCTGTTTCCTGTCTTCTTTTCTCATATAACAATCGAGCCAAACAACCTGCAAACAGAAGCAAAAGCAGAGGAGGCAAAGTTCAAAAAAAAAAATCAAATGCAAGCAACAAAAGGCAGTAATTGAAGGAGAAGGGAAACAAATAATAAAATAATCATTGCTACTTAGATGATGGTAAACTCAAATTTTCCATTATTCAATAATAACGGCATGCAGTCATTTTAGGGCATAGAGTTCATAATGAATGGTGTAGACCATCCATTTGCATGGTCTCAATAGACATAGACTGAGAAATCCCATTACTATTAGCATTTTTCTAAAGCTAGCACAAACTATAATTGCAAAAGCGTGTATATAATGGCATACCTCTACAATATGCTTGCAGAGAAATTGCTGCACCCTTGATGAGAACAAACTCCTTGTGAGTAACATATGTTCGAAAACGGTTCTGCACGAGCCTTGCAGCGCTCTCCAAAACCTCAATCCGCCGAGAATCTAAAATTGCAATTTGACCAGCTCTGAGGAACACTTTGGCCCTGCCAAGCTGTAAAAAATGCAGTAATGCTTCAGGTTTAGCAGATAGCCTATAATTATATATGACTTTAGTACATTTCTTATCAACAGCAAAAGATAAAAAAACCAATCCATCGGCTAATAAAAGTAATCCAGTGTCTGAAAAATTAATAAATAAAAAGAAAAGGAAGATGATAGATAAATCTAAATTTGAGATCGATAAATAATATACTGTGTCCCCACATTCTAACATCCACCACAACTATCTCCAACAATCTGAGTATCATTTGCAGATGATAGCAAAAAATGAAATAGAGTATTATCTTATTTCAACCTAAGATAACCAGCAAAGATACTCATAATACACATAAAAAGCATGCTTGCCTGATTATTTCAAGAAACTCAACAAAACAATGTCTTTTTCTGAACATAAGCTACTTCGACATTGATATCAATCTTTCTCACATATACATAATTACAACCTAAAAAGTATGTCACAGAAACTCTTCAACCAGATAAAACAGCAGTTATAAGTCAACAGACTGACATCACAAACGTATGCTTAAAGCATCCAAAGGAAGTAGGAACGGGAAGTCAATTGCAAATTCAGATTACAAGATATGGAAAAACAAGGTTTTTTAATAAAACACCTGGAAGTTTTCAAGTTTTAACTTTTGCAGGATTTTCTCGGTCACGGTCATCTCGTCATAACTGTATATACAGTAAGTAAAAAAAGGATTAGAAGACAACAAAAGACATCTTCGATAAAAAGATAATGCATTGATGTAGGAAATGTAGAACATCTCACAAGAAAAACAGATTTCATGATAGGAGAAAGAATGATGTTGATTGACTACACATGCGCAGTTAATTATCTATTTCATGACGATACAGCTTAAACTATATAATGATGAGAAATGTGTCCTGCTGTGCTGTAAATGAAGTCTCAAGCGACAGCCATGCATTATGTCGGTAATTATGAGACACAGAATACAATAGGTTCTAAAAATTGGAAAATAGAAGCAATAGTTAGGTGACAATAGATGTGTAAGGGTTCTTCTTATGCATATTCCAGAAGTAGATTAGTGATGGGGATTCTAGAGTAATATCTACAGGACATAGATATCTATTCAGGACTTAAAGATCCTTCCCTGACTTGTAGCCAATAAATGTATTAGGAAAAAAGAGGGGGGAAAGCCAAGTAAGAGCTCATTCAAGGAATTTGATCCTTTAATGCCTTCTTATGGGTGTAAGTACACGCGATAGGTATTGTGCTAGTGTTCAGGCTTAAAAAGTCTGCTCAAGGCACAAAACAACAGCTGTTTCAACTCAAACAAGTATTTCTAAGTATAGGAGCCTTAACGTATGAGAAACGTGATTGGTTGAACATAGATAACCCCTAACCAAACCCCATATTACCAGTCCATCAAAAGAATATTGTAATGGGTGTCAACGTGGGCATATGGATAGATAAATATGATATGACAAATCCCAAAAGACGTGGATATATGCTGCATGTGTGAATATGACTACACAGCAGAGATTAAAAAAAACTATACACACGGTCACATTCTACGAATTCATAATGATATCAACAATGTTTATCCAACAACTATCTTAATTGTGATATAAACTATAGAAAGTTTTGACAATGAAAAGAATCGGAACCCTATAATTAACATTTCATAACTAAACATGATCAGAAGCAATCTTCAACAGATTACAAATAATAATCCCAGTACTCAACATTAATATCAATCTTCATCGTGCAATCTAATGAATCATAGCTGGTAATGAGCATAAACCGAAAGGCAATGGAAACTAAGATACCTATAAAACAAGAGTAGCTTGGAATATAAATTGCATATGAGTTTGAGATTTAGATTGCCCTGAACTTTAACATAAAGCAATTGTCATAATAATCGCTTTTATCACAGGAATCTGATTTGGCCCACAAGCCCATTAACAAAAATGTTTACAAACAGACATCGACCATAGTATTCGCAAGTGAGGACCTCCCTCAAACAATCAAGGCTAAATGGCAGTAAAATCAACCTATCTATTGTGGATAGTGAATACCAGGAGCCATTATTTAGCATCCTTAGATTAAAGAGAAGTAATATGAACCAACAATATTGAAATTTTTATTAAACTTCTGGAGAAAAAAGAGGGTTCAAGTAGTTAGTCATACAAGGAAGGAATGAAGCACAAAGATCTCACATAAACATATAATGTCAGCATTCAATAACTTAATGACAAGGAAAAAATTTTCAAGCCAAACTTTTGGAGAACATGTGACAGAGTTTGCGGATCTCATCTGGTTAATCCTACTAGTTCCTAGCATGTGCCATGCACATGTGAGATAAGTAGTAACTGCACAATGAAAGCTGTAAAATGCACAGGATCAAAGACAACTATGGACATGTTGACATGTTCAAGATCTCTACATGCAAAAAAAACATACCTAATTGTGACATATTTACTTCCTATAGAGATTATAGAGATGTACTAAGGTATGTGAGAAATGAAAAGCAAGGTCGATCAAATACCACGAGAAAAATACAGAACAATAGATAGCAACATGGTTGGACTACCTGCCATCCATTAATTCTGGAGCTAAGAGTCCAAATCGATCTATAAACTCCGAGTAAGTTCTCCGAGTAGGATAACCAGCAAGACTAATTCGAACAGCCTCCAAAACACCCTGGAAAGAGATGCAAAACCGATTAACTGAGTGAATACATACAGGTAGCCAGTAGAAACATTTAAATAGATACTGAACCACAAAGACATATGCCTCACTCTAGAAAATAGCATATTCGAATCAGAAAAAACTGGCCAGATTTACCAATGCTTGGATGGGAATTCCCATATTTGACCTCATTCAAAACTTTCCCTATTTGCAGATAAGTTAATAAGTTTACATTCCAACAGCATTTAAAGTAGACTAAAACACATCCTCTCTAAAAAAGCAAAAAACTAATACGTGTACTATAAAAATCGATAACATCTAAAGCATACGATGGTAGGCAATTAGATGCCAGAATAGTATATGTTAAGCAAATCTCATAAGGATACTACTTCAAATATAGAGACAAAATAAGTTACAATACATGTAGGGAGACTTCCCCAGCAAGAAAATGGTAGGTATAAACTAAATATGTAGGCAATAGAAGACAATAAAGTTAATTTTTCTTGTAATTTTGCTATCCAACATCCGGAAAAAGAACCACCAGCTAATTTACAAGTGTAAGTATCATTTGAATGAGAAAAATTCTTTCAATATATACATCCATGGAAAAATAAATGATAAGGAACAGACAGTATCAAACACAAAGACAAAGTGAAGTATAAACAAACTTCAATCTAAAAAAATAGTATGTAAAAGCTAGCAGATTTGGAGCATATGAAATAACAAAACCATCGCATATTTCATCCTTCAAAGAAATATAATTATTCATACCCCACAACGCAATTGATGTAGGACACTCTGATTCTCAAACTTCTGAGGACGGTTTGAGGAGTTCGGTTTTATACAACGAACATAGTGAGGTTCTGTTGCATTGAGTGTCTCCATGAGAGCTTGAAGTTGTTGCTTTGCAAGTACAAGATAAAACATGTCAGACAGTATAAAATAATAGAACAAAGGAGAGGAAGTGGTAATAGCTTCCAGACACAAATAAAGTTAAAGAAAGAAGGGCAAGCCCAGTGCCATGTGAAGTTTCAAACAATAGTGCATATCCACACTTGTAAATGCAACGCTTAATAAACAATCATTTATAACCACATTCAAAATTCACAAAAAGGTAGAACAAGACGAAATCATGAAAGCAAATACAGAATGCAGAAAGCCAATTGTGAATATGTGAAAGTTGATACCTTAAATCTAGAAGCTACAGAAGAGAACTTGTAAGACGATCTCGAAGATTCCTCCGGCAGTAAAGCAAACAGACCAGAAATGAAACAGCATTTTGATGAAGATAACAGATTGCAGTGTTCTATAATGACATAGTCCCGATTTTTATCCAAAAACGAATCTGATTGATAGGTTACCTATAAAACATTACAATGATGAATGTATGACTAGACAATGATTGTCATGATAGCATGCTTATGGTCAAACAACTGATATGAGGAGGTACCTTTCCTGCATAATGAGACATAGTAAAATCTGTCTCAGAAAATTTTGCTTTTTCTAATCTTGGATGTGTCTTGAAGCTTTGAAACAACTTGGTCGAAAATGTCTCATGCGTTGACTTTGGGAACATACTGGAAAGGAGAATAAATCAGGGACAAACCAGCTTAATTGATAACATAAAATTGGAAATTCAAAAATTGAATAAGATAATCTTCTTTACCAAGCTTCATCCAGAAGAGAAATTATTCCAATAGGCTTCTGTAAAGAGAAAAACAAACATAACATGAGTAATTCCCTGAAAGGTTCACCTAAAAAACAAAAAGAAAGGGAAAATGTCAACAGCTAGTGGCAAGCGTGTCTATAAAAACATGAAACGTACATGTGTGTTCTGCCATAAGCATACGCACCAATATTAAAAACAAAGTGTAACATCATCCAACTCCTAAAAACATTGCAATAATGACTTTTGCCACTGAGATTTATATAAAATTAATGCATACGAGAATTTCTAGAAAATAAAGAAGAGCTGCTATCTACAAGATATACTAGTAGGATATTTCATTGTAAGAGCTTACTACAAGGTCATTATATTACAGTAGTCCAGAAATCAAGTGACGTTATGCAGAGCCACACCGTTGTCAAGAATATCCAATTATGCAACATCTCTTGAAGCCAGTGGGGGATCCACAAAATGTTTCTTAGGGGGGCAGACAACAAGTATCTATTTACCTAAAACTAAAAATATTATATTATAAACTACAGGACCTAATGGGAATGCACACGGTACACTTTAAAAGAGCTAATTCAATTTGCTTAACTTATGTACTGCTTTTAGATAGAATGGGGTGCAATTTTTTAAAAATTTATGGGAGGCAGATGGTAAATATTCTAAGGGCTTATATGCAATCTGTAAAGTTAGGGTTGCAACTGCACCCCGACACAAATATCTACATTCAGCCCCGCTTGAAGCCACATATGCTTAAGCTTGTGAGTGGAAGGAAATGCAAAACTATGCGCCCCTTAAGCTTCAAACTATAATGGCATATTTGCTCAATGTTAATCCTATCAGTCGACAGTGGCCACTTTGCTGTATTTAACAGCATGTACAATGCGTTATAGAAACACTAGTACCCACAAACTTGAAAGACATCCTAGGAATGATTTAAATTTATATGGAAGAAAGGTTCTGCCACAATAACTAAATTGCATACAGATAGTTACCAAAGTTTCCTTCAAAGCAACGTAGATGAGTAGACGTGTGAACACTAAAGTATCAACATGGTCACAACAAGTTTAACAAAAATAAGTATTAAAATTGACAGAGAAGTCCTTGTGAAATAATTATACAACTATTTCTACATACCATAAACAACTTCAGTTAAACATAGATTTATATTATCATTACTATCCTCAACAAAGCTTTGTACCTAGTTAAACAAATTATGTTAAAACTTAAAAGCAGTCAATCAAGAGAGACGTGGTTTCACAGCAAAGTTTTGAAAAGCAAAAATAAAAACAGAATAACCTTCTCAATCAAATCCAAAATGTCTTGGTTATCTATAAACTCAATATAGCTCCAATTGATTTCTTCATTTCTGTACTCCTCCTGCTCCATCTTGAATACATGCTGAAATAGCAAAAAAGCACAGGTTATAAAGTAACCCCAGGTAGAAAAGATTATGCATGGCATCATAAATTACCAATGCAATTCTAGTAAGAAAACATCAGCATGTACCTCATTGAAATGTTGTTGAAGTTTTTCATTCGCAAAGTTGATGCAGAACTGCTCAAAGCTGGACACAAAAGGCAGCAGCTCACAAGCATGACACTGATAAATTTTATAATAATACAGGATTCCACTCCCAGCAGAAAAAATAGTTTTGGAAACAATATAAAATTAGAAAGGAAATCGCTTCCTTCTATTTTGTTCCATGCAAATAAGAAGCATCAGAATCACGCATACATCTATGAATTGTCAACAGATATGCCATACTGCAAGCATCATCCATCATCACCACCACCATCATAATCAAGCACACCAATTAAGCTGGGGTCTCATACATATAGCAAAACTCCTTGTCAAGGAAGCTCCAAAAAGTTTTTAATGAACTTTTGTAAGGCAGCTGTCAACCTGATAACAAGTTTTGGTCCCAACTAATTGACCCAAGACAGGTACAGACAAAAAGGAATAGGCAAAGGTAGGATAGTTAGTGGATACGCCTTGCTGTGTTTGTAGTTTAAATTAAGGCAACAAAAGATCAACCTTCCATAACCTTTATAAAACAATTTAAAATTACAGAGGAAGGTAAAGAAAATAAACTTGCTACACTAAATTGCACACATGTGAGGTATGACTTTAATCCCATAATAACTCATAGCTAGCATTTTAAGCAAGAGTAACAGTGGAAGTCATGGGACAGGTGATCCTCAAGAAGTTCTCATCAAGACATTAGAAAGAAAACACCAGGGATGCAAGTCAATTTCACCTCTAAAATCTCATTATACATTCATTTTTATCCCATCGATTGACTTCATTTTTGGCTCCTGATTGATTCACTATGTGTTCAAGATATTTCTAGATACTTCAAATTTCAATTGGTTTGAATGAAAAAGCACACAGCAGAAAACCATGAAGGCTTTGGCGACCTTTTTTTCTTTGATTATCTCATGCAACCAATAAGCAACCTTCCACATGACGCTGACGAAAAGAAAACATTGTATAAGTAGCACAGTCAGTGATTAAACCAATGACTGAGTATATGCCAACCCAGATGAAAGTTAAGTAAGGTTGAAGGGAAGAACATATGCATATATGACATGGTGTTCCAGGACAAAAATAAAAAAAGACGCCCAATGTCTATATTTTCAATAGCTATGACAACAAAATGGGCAAGAATAAACTGCAAATTTGAGTAAGCAAGAAACATTATGAACCTGTTATTTTTGAAGCATTCAAAACCATAGATGTCTAAGACTCCAATTTGTATCCTGGAATCCGGGTCTTGACCAACAGACTTGTTAATGTTTTCAACAAGCCTACAATAGTATGTTCAAGCAACAGTAAATTAGTGACTATCGCATAACAACTTAATATAAGGCTCACAAGGTACAAGAACATGCCAGTCAAACAATCGAGCATATACAGTCTTGGCAAGAACATCACGATTAGCTGTAGCAGAAGCACAGTCAAGTGCTTTAATGATAGTTCCTTCACGAGTCTTTATTGACCGAGAACACAATGTTGCAAGCAAAAGACCGGCATCACACCTAACAGATGAAACATATGTTAGTGCACTCTGGTGAACTTACACAGCAAGAAATGATGAAGAAAATGCAGGATGGACCACAATTCATTAATTAAAGTTGGTATTAGTCATCCCCATTGTAAATCATGGAGGCACTGTTATACTTAATGTCAAATCCTCATTATAATCCGCTCAGATTTGACAAAGCAAGTTAGCTGGTTTTCTGGCTTATTTATAACGCTAAAAAGCAGTACATGAAAAATTCAACATCAGAAGTATTGATGAGCCGCATGAGCCATTATTGTTATGTGTTTCACGTCTTCTCAATACATGTGTGTATCATAAAATTATAATTAAAAACTCAACTTGTCAGTTGTCACTGCTTCATAATAACGTAAATCATGATCATAATAGCATATAAGTCACAGGTTGTGGAAGAAAGTCGTCATGTAGACACAGATGATCATCTACACAGACATCTGTCTTGACTTCAAGCCAAAGCCATCTACTCCAGATAATCATGTCGCTTCTTCCTTGTGATGTTACTGTTACTTAATGATGATTCCATGCCTTCCCAAATTGGACATGTAAATAGATATGAAAAGGAGGGGAAATTATAACTTTGAGAAATTACTCAGGGATTAAATGACCCTCTTGGACAAACAATTTTCAAAAATTCCAAGAGCTGAGAGAAGGCCTAGAAGAACCATCATTCCTAAATTGATGCTGTGTTCCACACAACTTTATCAGCTTAGTTGAAAGAATTAAAACCCAAAAGATAAGTTAGCCAGCAAGAGAAAAGCGCACATACAGGAAAGCATGCACATCAACATAAAAAAATTTCAAAATATGTAAATTCCTTTTAAATTGCAGATCACATGAAGATCAACAAAATTGATATGTCGACATGGTGAGAATTCTTCCATTATGCCTACACAACCACTCTATTGGAGAAGTCATTCTCTCACGCTTTTTTCAAAATTGCCTTCCAACTTGTTTCCTCCTCTTGTTACATATAGCATCCAGACTAGATTGTTCATCATCCAACTATTAAAAAACACATCAACCAGTTGCATCTATTAATTTTCTATCTACCTATTTGCTTTTTAATTTTACCATGAAATATACCATGTGACACTGAAGGATTTCGATGTGCAATGTTCATCTTTCATCACACCTAACTCTCCAATTTTTTGAGATGTTAAATGGATATAAGAAAATTATTACTGTTTTATATGTAAGTAAAGATTTAAGATAAATTAACACTTCAAATGTGAGATTCTGTTAAAGATGTAGAACATCTTCCCCTTTGTTACATCACATGAAATATTATCAATAATATGGAGATTCAAGCTAAATTTTTTAACCAGGCCATCTTAGTTTTAGGAAACCATTATTGAATTCCCTCGCTATCTGTGCATATGCTTTGGCCAGAACAACAGCAACAATTATAGACAAATCGATGTAGTCATCTTTTATCATAAGCAATGACGATTTTATATTTATATTTGTCTTCATATTTATATTTAAATTTATATTTATAAACGAATATGAAAAAAGTACTTGCATGAATAACTCAGAGGCCATCTCAAGATGAAAAGTAGACTGTGTGTCCTTGACGATTGAAGAATCATGTTCCTTTCCAGGAGAAAATTCAATGTTCCCAAGATGAAGAATAGCAGCTAGGGTGCGAAATATTGCTTCCTGAAAAATGATATGAAAGATGTGAAGGTAAGAAGCATGAAACAAGAAGCAATTCATGAAATATGCATAAAAAACTATTGCATTCTTAACCTGATCGCTGTAATTTATACCAACTATATCCATTGATCTCCGTGTCTTCCAGTACTCTTCAGCATTGCTTACTCCATCTAGCTCATACGTCTTGCTTTGGTTCAAGTAATGGAATTCACTCGGATGACCAAGTTTGTATTTCTCTGCATCCTAGAAATAGGAAGGGAAAATGAAATTGCTAAAATGGAAAAAAAAAAAGGCATACCAACATGTAACTATGCATATAAAGTCCGTAGATTCTACAAAAGGAATAAGGGCCCAGCATTGTTCGAGTAGACTCAGAAGACAACAACGGCATACCAACAGATTCTATGCATATAAAATATGTAGATAAATGAAATGTTAAAATGAAAAAAAAAAAAGACAAAAATGGCATACAACATGTAACTATGCATCTAAAATCTGTAGATAAATGAACTGCTAAAATGAAAAAAGAACAAAAAAGGCATACCAACATGCAACCATGCATATAAAATCTGTAGATTCTACAAAAGGAAATAAGGGCCCAGCAGTATTCCCATAAACTCAGAAGACAACAATATAGAAAGAAGATTTACTGAACTCACTGAAAATCCCTAGGCTGAAAAGCACCTACTAGAAAGACACCGATGGACATAAACTGCTTAACAAGATCACTTTCTGTGGTAGGAGCAATTAAGGAAAATTAATCGTCTTGAAACTTTAATCAATTGGTGTCACTTATACGAAATTTAGTTTACATATGGAAAAGCCTCCTGTGAAAATGAAATGTATGGCTGCATAGCTTGCATACAATTGACCCAAAAGTGGTGCGACCCCTCCCCCCCCTGACCCCGCACATAGTGGGACCTTTGTGCACAGGGCTGCCCTCTTCAGAAAGGAGATATATTAACAGAAGGTAAATCCAATGACCATAAGCAAACAATACAGCAATACAGGGATACTCAATATCAAAGATTCAACAGAAAAAAATGAAGATACTAGATGGATCGACTATGCTACACAATGATAAATAGTGGCAGAAGATGGTTGATGCAACATTTCATCTGCTTGCATTTATGGAATCATGATTTTGCAATACAATATTAGGCATAATCTGAGTTGTTCAAAAGATATTACATTCCCATGTTTGGTAAAATAACATATAACTTATCACTTAAGAGCACAACTAACTAGGAGTGCTCAGAATCAGGTTTGGTTGGGAGAATAGGAGATGCATCTGGAAATGCTTTTAGGGCTATTTAAGGTTAGGACATTCTACCAAAATTTAAGATCATAGGATTTAAAGCAGAATTTAGATCTGTTTTAGGTTTGTGTATGGCTTCACTGGAAGGATATCAAATTTTAGGAAAGAAAAGTAAGGGAGGTAAAAAGCTTCCACATTTGTTTATTTCCCGCTAAAATGGCTTTGCACTTCTTTTGGCTTTTTGTCATGGCTGCAGCACCAAAAAAACATAACTAAAGAAGCACATGAGCCAGAAACTCAATATTGCATGCACCCCACCTATTTCCTTATTTAGAAGAAAGGCAAAACCTGTTATAAACTTGCATAACTTGATCCCTATGACGTAGTCCTAGACAACAGAAAAGTCCCCAATCATACTTAGAAAAAATAATTGCTCTCTAGATAAGCCTACAATAATACTTCTAAACAAGATAGATATTTTCAAAACTGCTAAAATTCAAACTCAACAGCTAGCATTTTAAGATAAAGCTATGAAAAGATTTCTAGAGAAGACACAATTTTAAAACTAAAATGTATCCAGATTATAATTCTCAAATACATATAATTCTGAGATTATGCTTGTGAAATTAAATCTAAAAAATGAACGATGTGACCATTGGCTCATTCTGTATTCGTAATAGTGGTACTGTATCTACACAAGTGTACTTTCCTTCCTATGACAAAATTCTGTACCAACTCGCTGCTTATTGTAAAAGATGAAAGGGCCAGGAAATATGCTACTTAACATCCTGTTAGGCTGTCAATTTCCACCTTCCTTTGACGAGACAAATGTCCATTATGCACCTTCCTTTAGTTACGTTCCAATTGGGCCATAAAACTTTTTCTGATCTTCACCAAAGGGATCTCATGAAAAAATGAAACAAGTATATTTTGGTCTGGTTGGTAAGGTGCAAGACAAGCAGCTTACCACTTGAGCTGCAGAAACTCATCCACAAATTACCACAACTCTTGGCTGCTGATGATCTTCTCTGCAGCAACTCATACTTGTTGGTAATGATGTAAAAGAAGGGATTTCCTTGCCCATCTCTTGGCTGCTGATTTTCATTAAGACCTTATGTGAAATATATGGAGATGAATCATGGAGTTCAAAGTTTCTGCAGCAAAGAAAACTATGTATACTGTATGTATGCATGCTTGTCCCTTAAGAGTGCATAACAAAGAACATACATATATGCATATGATTCTTACAGAAGTATCACCATAGTTTCTTCCTTCTTACGCGTGACCCAAAAGGACACAAACATTCTGTCCAAACTCCAAACTAAGTGATAGTCTTATTGGTGTAAATGACGTATGAAGCGGTAGTCAAACTTATGAGCATGATCCATATCATGGCTCATGCAACAAGCATTGAACATTGTTTGGACCTTTTGTAGGACATTTACAGCATACTAAGGTAACTTAATAGACGAGATAGCACTTAACAAAACCGAATGGAAGATTAGGATTATGCAGCTGGCCCCAAAATTTGGGACGAAGGCTTTGCTGTTGTTGTTTATTTTCAGCATACTATGTGTACATCTATAATGCATAGTTAGTGGTACGGGTTTCCCTCAGCTTAGGTGATCTAGTAGTCATAAAGCTATGATTATCTGCTTATTATAGCATGAAAACTTGTTGAGTGAATATGCACACATTACAATAGCCTCACATCTAGCTACCTACTCCAGGCACCCTTTGATCATATTGATAGCTGCAGCAAGCTTATTCGCTGCATATTTTGTTGTTTGCACACAGTAATGACTACAATATGCAAGGATATCTGCATTGCATCAAATGACGAACTATTTTAAGGGAAAGCTAACTTGAATTCCATTGAAAATTTTACTGCAGTGTACTTTGATGGTCACTGGAGATGTGCATTTTCATTAACCTGCCATTATGTTCAATGAGCACGAAACAAGTTGGGTCAAGCACAGGTCAGAAGAAAACAGCGATACAACATATGAACGTGCCCAACAGGGACCCAAAACTAAGTAATAGAGATGACAGATCTTCATATAAAGAGCCATGGACTTATTTTTAGTTTCAATAGATAAGATTACTAATAATAAAGTTAAGGATCTGCAATGTGGAGCAAACACATGGTCGCCTGGAGCTCAATGATAGTAGCATAAAAAACAAAAGCATGCACTGAAAAGAACATCAGATGTCTATCAAGAAAGCATATTCCAAGCAATTACCTTTCCAGAAGCACATAGCTGATAAAAGCAGTGGTAGTTTCTCTCAGGATCTGTAATTTGTACTACACGAGACCTTTCCAAGAGGTAGGTTCTTACAGCAGCACCAGATATCCTACCGCTTGTATCAAACTGGATTTCAACAAATTTTCCAAAGCGACTGCAAAAGTAACAATATCTGAGAAGTGTATATGCATGTTGGCGGAAAATTTTACATCTGTAGTTGAATACAATGGGTGATGGGCAAAATTGGCAGTGGGATGGTTGTATAGTGTGAGTAGCTGAGAGTAGTAACTCGCTAGCTACCACAAAGTACACAAGAACTAACCCTCAATAACACAAATATACACACGCATGCACATACACATGCGCACACAAGCTCATAAACACCCATGCACATGCAAATGCACGAGAATAGTCAGGGATCACAAAAAGTTCTAGCTAGCAGTATAAACCAATTTCCTTCATCTGAAAGGCCCAGCCACACAGAAATCCTTTTTCCCCCTCCATTTGCTCTGTTGTGCCATAACTGGAGTCATTTCAGTCCATTTACTCCTTTATTACGACACCTATCTATGTACCATTATGTGTTGTCCGCCCTGATCTTTCAATTCGACCTACCGCACAGTTTACCCCTATCCCCTCTTATGCACAACATCGTTAACTGCCTTGTTATTACAAGATGATCTCTTGTCCTCTTCTACCATTAACATAAAATATTTCTAAGTTGAAGTCACCAAGGTGCCTGCCTCACTTTTCTGTACTAAAAAGAAATATCATATGTATCTGTTGCCAATATTTAGAAAGATATTATTCACTGCAAAACAGTCCAGGGTTTTCGTACTAACAATTAGGATAATTACCAGAGATGTTATTGTCGTCATCATCGTCTAGGTCTTTCTCATAAACCTAGTAGCAGTCTTCTGAGTTGTTCTCCACGAATGGAAAAGGAAGAAAAAGAGAGCATTTATAAATAATGATTGCCAGATCATCCTTTTTTTGTTTTTGTTTTTTTTTTTTTTTTTTTTGGGGGTGGGGGGGTTGATTGTCAGAGCTTAAGAGCTGTATCTTGATGTTTGCTAACTGGTCAATCAAGTCCGATCCCCCGCAATTTCATCTTAATAATTGAAAAATATTTATACAATGTCTCCTATGGATTTTGATATCTCATATATTGTACACTACAAATAAGCCATTATTTTATTGATAATCATCTATAAAAATGTACCACGTGTAGTTTTATCATATGCCTATATTTGGACATAAAAACCAGCATGCTTTTGTTCTTGTTGGCTTGTTTACATGCCTATGTTTCAAGTATATTGCCAGATCCAAGTTATTGCCTCCTTTTCAATAAATTAATTGTTAACATGGATGAAAAAGCAAGTCCGAATCATCAAAAATAGACATGCTAGTGCTACCCTGCAGTTTGATTGAGATCAAATTATTGCTTTTATGGATATAACCAACAAAAACAGATGCAAGTGATTTGGGGTAAATATTTGAACTATTGACAAAGCTATACGTCCTGGGCTCATAACAGTATACCCGAAAAGGAGAATGCCATGTAGTACACAGGCCTGGAGCAAGACATCCACAAAGCTACAACTCATACACATCCCATACTTAGACCTCTACTGGAGAAAGAAGATAGTATAGAAATCTGCAGAAATGTAGCAATAAGCTAACCATGCTCGAAAGGACATGACACTCACCTTGAGTTATCATTTCGAACAGTTTTTGCATTACCAAATGCCTCCAAGAGCGGATTTGACTGCCAGGAACATGCGAACACCACAAAATATAAAATTTTTAAGTCAGATCAAGATCAAAAATGAAAAATAATAATAATAATAACCATCAAAACATGGTCATCAATTCTATGTTGCCGTGCCACTTACTTCCAAAACTTGCTGCTCAACAGTACGATCATCACTAGCAGCCCGACCGCCAACATGTGTTAAGTACTGCATAATTAGCTTTGTGGTCTCAGTTTTCCCAGCTCCGCTTTCTCCGCTAACCAAAATGGACTGACTGCGGGCCTCATTCATCATAGCTCTAATGTATGAACGGAAATGGAAGTTAGCATACTGCAGAGAGAGGGACAACAAATGAAGCCTCGTGAAAAGACAGACCTGTATGACGCATCGGCTATAGCAAAAACATGAGGGCTTAAGTCCCCAAATCGAACACCCTTGTACTGCTCCATCATATGTGCATTATATAGATGAGGAAGCTTGGTGAATGGGTTGACAGCTATGAGTATACTTCCTGTGTATGTCTATCAAAATCATGAAGGGTCAAACTACAACCAGGTGAAAGTTTTAAGAAATCACACGAGAAAATTTTAAGAAATCACGAGTTACTTATAACTGTTTTAAGTGATTGTGTATAGTTTAGTCTATAAATGCAACAAACAACAATTTCACCAGTAAAAGGTCTTGGCCTTCTTTTGTACAATAACATCTTGAGAGGATAACAACGTAAATGTATGTGCAAGATATATGTCCAAGAAGAGCATGACTGGTCTTTTAAAGTGAAAGACAAGTATTATATAATTGAGGACATGTCTGAGCAAGTGTATGCACATGACCAAGGAAGCGTCGATGTTTGGTATGTATGGGTGGAAGTGAATCAAATAATTAATAAACAGTTCGGTTATTATTCATCTAGCTATTCAATCATATTCGATTTGCTATCTCATTTAATAGTAGACGAATAATTTTTAGTATTCGATTCATAAATGAATAGAATTTAACCAAATGTGTATTCAATTCACTTGGTCATTGAATATTCGTTTATGCTCTATATTTATTAAATGGTAGATTAGACATTTTCTAAAAAATTTAATTAGTTTAACTTGAGGCGTCAGCTTAAATAGAAAAAGCAATTTAGAAGGTAGCGAACAAAAAAATGATGCTTTGGAGGGCATATTTACAAATATATACAATTGTTGGTGTACATGCAAAAATCTCGAAAAGAACAAGAAAGTAATAAAAATATGTGACAGTCCTAAAGTTCAACCACAGGACCTGCTATATTAAAGATGAATCCCCTAACCATGTGAGCTACCAAATATTCATAGATATTTAGTGAATATCACATATATATACGAATTCAAACATGAATATCATTTTGATATTCGACCCGAATTCGAATTCGAATTCGAATATTGAAAAATTGACCAAATTCAAATTCGAAGTCACCGATGTTCACTCCGATTTGGTTGTTTTTCATCCTTAGTGGTACGGGTGTCAAGAGTGTCTGATACAGGTATGGCTTCATGGATCATGATAGAAGTAACGCGTCACCAATCTGCATTTCCTTTAATAAATTATCATTGACGGTCTACATAAACAAATGGTGAGAATAGATAACAATTACAGCCTTTAGGTGCATTAACCCTCTGTTCGTGTTTATTTAGTTCATTTCAAACTACAGGCAAATATAACGTTTGAAAGCCAAAACAAGAGCAGAGAACTTTTTTATTCTTTAAAATACATGCTAGCTATTTCAAATGCCTGGCACGCAGCAGCCAGATTGTGCGGAACAAATGTCCCACATTATTGTAAAGACAAACAATGCAAGACACAACAATGCTTGCTGAACAAAGAGTATCCAACTAAAATTCATCAAATTGCTGAGAAATTAAAATTCAAAATCACTTACATATATCTCATTGAGTGCATATCTTCTGGCAAGATTATAAAGAACCCCCGGCTCGCTAAGATAAGTCAATTTGGTCATGTCATCTACCCCTCCCAGATCAGCATCCGCATCCCGTGGAAGCAACTTATCCGGCGGAACATTAATCTTCATCAAACAAGCCAAATCAATCAAAATTTACACGTTAAAATTGGTAGAATATAAAACTATAATGCTTGAGCCTTATCATAACTCCGGAGTTTTGAAATATTGTTCATAGGGACTTTTAATGGCATCAGAGGGGCTTTCATATGGTACAAGAATATAAAACTATAATACTCAAGCCTTATCATAACTGTGTAGTTTTGATATATTGGTGAGAGGGACTTCCACAAAAATAGTCAAATAGTGATAAATACTTAAAAAATCAACCGAACAAACTACCTTCGAGCTCAAGAAAATAGATCCCTTACTAAAATCCTAAAATCAACTAAATAATCAAAAAAAATACTAAAAATTTTCAATTACCTTCTTTCTTTGAGCAGTGATCAAGCTCACGAGCTTATCCTTGACTTCGACCACCTCAGCCTCAGTCCACGACAAGTCCTTATCCTCAACCCACACCTTCGAGCCCTTTCTGAAGCTCATCGTAGCTTCTAAACCCTAGAAACCCCTAGGAGAGGGAGAGAGCGGAGCCAGAGATGAGCGAGAGATTGGAAACCCTAGAGAGAGAGAGAGAGAGATGAAGAGTACGGTTTCCCGCCAGTTGAGAAGGGGAAGAGACCGAGAGAAGAAAATGAAGGACACCTCAGCGGATGATTATTTATACGGGGAGCTCGTGTTTCGGATTTTAATTGTGATCGTGATGGCTGTCGGCGATTATATCAAAAAATGAAAATGGCGGAGGTTTTCTCTTCCTGATGTACTTGTTGGCGTGGGGGAAGATGACCCGTTAACCCGTTACCGTTTGCGTTTTGATTTTTTTTTATTTTTTTATCCGAGGGCGTTTATGGTTAAGGCCTTGTATTAACTCTTATTTGCAAATTGCAGTTCTCGTGGATAAAAAGCTCAGAACACTTTGATGTCTTGTGCATGAGAACATTAATAGAAACTGAAAAAGGTACAGAGAATATTTTCTCTAGATGAGTCAAGGACCTGTTAGTGTTTAGATTTTTTTTAACTTTGATTTCTGTTATAAAAAGTATATTGTAAAATCTCTATAATAGAAAATTTTGCTTACTATAAAGAACGAAAATTATAAAATAATTATTTAATATTTCTTTGAGTCTCTTAATGCGTATGCAGATAAAAACTACTCATATGAGTTTTAAAGCACACACCATATATGTCATTAGAGTTAGTAATTACATAATAAATCATGGATTATTTTAAAACTCTTAAAAGAGACTTGAATCGATGACATTTCAAAATGTTGCATCGTATAAGTTAATTTCAACAATCACTTTATAACTATTGTATTATATTTTTTTCTCCACATCGACTATTTTTTTATGCATCTGAGACGATGTTTTTCCCTTCTTTTCTCTTTTGTCTTATGAGCGGGAATTGAAAAAACTCTTGTGAAATGTAAAAAAATCCACATGCGTCTCTCTTGTCCCACAATCTCATATTTGCCAACCACTTTGCAAACAAATTTTATTGACAATAACTTGCAGGTTATACTAATGACGTTTTTGTATCTTAACAACTAAATGACAAGATAACAATCCTCGATCCCGAAATCTACCTAGGAAGAACTTTAAAAGAGAGTCACAAATGTAATTTCGATGAAATAGGGGCATTTATGCAAAATAACTTCTCCCATGCGGTTGCCTTCTTGTTCTTTCCGTTTTCGAAGGAGACGTTTCTCCGACGGCACTCCGTTTGAGTAACAGAGCAAGTACACGGTAACCGCCTAAAGCCCGAATCCAACCATTGGAAACTTCCAACAGCGCGATATGATGCCCTTCGCGATCAGCGATATTATCAGAAATGCCATTGGTTTGAACGGCCTCAGGGGTAGTTACGTCTTTTGAGCTCTTTATAGGATTCAAATTTGAAAGCACTGCAAGGAGCCAGGATCACGGAGAAGCGGGACCCACCATAATCGACTCTCGGTGTTTTATCAGAACAGTCCCTGGTCTCTGAGATTATTTTTCACGTAAGTGCATAATAAAACATAATGTTGCATGTTTATACTGTATATTTAAGAAAAGCCACTTTTTTGGTTTGTACGTCAATTTTTTTTAAAATACTAAAAATACCACCGCACCATAAAAAATCAAAAAAAATACATTTACACTTACCAAAGGTAATTAAAATGATTAACATTTGAGAATCAATACAAATGCTTCCACTCTCGCAAAAAACATTCCGAAATACTCTCGCATTTTTTTGTTATGCACTCATTGTGTGCCCCATAGTACTACTTAACACTTTAAATATACATTTTTTACGATGTTTCGCATATCATCAATGAGCTTAGTTATATATCTCTTAGGTTTACCTCATTGATTGATGTGTCAAGATGTTAAATTACTGAGTGTCAACTTGAAAATAATGTCACTTATATTTCTTTTGGGGTGTAACTCTTATTTCGTAAGTTATGGTCCAAAAATTTCCATCCATCATTTGCAATATGAATTTGAATTGAAATATGATATCGCTAGCTTATCATTCTACGGATAGAATTGAGGATAATTTCATAGTAGATTTATGGTTTAACAACTTAATATGTGAGGAGAGATCTTCTAGACTTTTAGATTGAAACGAGAGTACTGATTAAATTTTTTTGGATAAAAAACGAGTGAAGAAGACATATTTTGTTGGTAATCATGTTTTTTGCTGAATTCAATTGCAGAAAGATTTAAATGGTGTCGTTGGTATAAGATATTGTGAATGGAAGTGGGATTGTTGATTACGGGAAAGTTCGCATTAACTCATTACATTTGGTTGTTATATATGAAATGCATGTAGCTAAATATTATCATGGTTTTTCCGTGATGTTTGGCTAATTAGCACCTAAATACGTTATTGTTTCGCTTGCTTTCCACTCATGTGCCATCACTTGTTTTTATAGTACGTATAAACCTTGAAGTTTTTTTAATTTATAGTTTAATACCTTATGTTGTGCAAACATGAAAATAATCCCTCGAAAACTCATATAGGTAACACCCACATGTTAATTTCAAAACTCTTTAAACCTTAGCTCTTATCACACAAGAGTTGCGAGATAACAGTGATGATCTAGAAGTTCGAATAAGTATAGGCCCATTAGAAAACCACTTAGCAAATACACGAAGAAAAATAATGAGTATGAGGGAATGACTCATTTTGCTAAATAAACTATTAAGAAATAACTATGCGATACGACCCACTCTAATAGCTATATTAAAATATGTAGTCCTGTGGACTTCACATTTCTATCTATTGATAGCTCGGTATGTTAAATAGACCGTCATCTTATTGTTGGATATTTTTTGTCAAAACTGTTTTTTCCAAAAATGAGTTTTCAAACTATTTAAACATTAACTACTGATATTTTTCAGAAATCATTAATTAGTAGCGTAGCGGAAAGTTAAAGTTTTGATATCTCAAAGGTCCTGTGTTCGAGGTTTGCCAACCGCAAGTCGAGAATTGTTTTTATTTAATTAATCTCTCATAAGTTCTAGTGGGTCGTGGGCCAATGGGCCAGGGATCGGAGCTAATCGGGCCGAGGCGCTAAGTGTCGTTTTGTTAGGCGCACTTTGCACTTCACACGGGAGGCATCGGGGCTAGGTGGCGCCACGCAAGATTGCATCGCGGTCTGCTTCGCAGCATACGCGGGTGAGCCTCGCGTTCGCAGCTAGGGCGAGCCTCGCATTCACAAGAGGGAACGCGACCCTCACATTCACAAGATTTGAATCTCATGTTGCGCAGGACCGCGACCCTTGCGTTCAGACTATTGCATGCAGCAGTTACAACATATGTTATTTGCTGTTACAAACATAATTGTCATTATATTTGTAACAGTCAAATTAAATGTGGGTGACCTTTGAGCTAGTCTTAGAGACATATATAGTGCCTCTTGGGGAGCTCTTGGACAGATGAAAAAAGTGATACAGAAAATAGAGACGAAAATCTTTTTGTACTGTAAAGTGATACGAAAAATAGAGACAAAAATCTTTTTTGTACTGTTGTGCTGCTGGTGCAGAACCTGAAAGCGTGCAAGCTTTATTCTGTGCCCGAAGGAACATAGCCATGAACCGAAAGGTTGTTTGAGATCGAAAGATCTTTTGCCTGAACTGAAAGGTTGTTTAAGATCAAAAGCTTTTTTGCCTGAACCGAAAGGCTTTAACAGATCGAGGAGATATTTGCTTGAACCGAAAGGTTTGATAGATCGAGAAGATATTTGCCTTATAGATCGATGAGATCTTGACAGTACCTGGTTGGTGCACATCAACGTACTGTAATGCTGTTCTTGTAAGCAGTTTGGTCATGGAATCCATGCACCGGAGTATACCAAATATTGTTTTAAGTACAGCGTTTCATAAACGCATAACAACTAAACTTGAAAAAGTTTTAAAATACAGCACTTTAACTCTTTAATAGATTTATCTGTTTTATTCCAGATTTAATCATAAGCGCCAACACTTATCACCATCGAACTCATATATTAAATGGAACTAAAATCAACTACCAAAGTTTTAATGAAAATTAGGAATGAAAAACGAAGTGTGAGTAAATAAATTCGCAAAATGAATAAATAGTGAAAGTAACTTATTATTACTTATGTGCGTAGGAAACCCAGTGGGCGGATCACATTCACACGCCAGCGATGTCAGCAACAAATACGTGGACCCTCCCCCTGCACTGTCTACAAAATTTCCATTTCTTACGTTTCTACCCTATAAAGTTTAAGATGGCACGTGGCACCGGGAACCTTGTGCCCGCAAATTTTCAAAAATTTGGTCAATTTCATTTGCACAGTAGTCCATTACAATATACGATAAGGGAAGGGCCTATTTGGTTGGTTTTCTAATATCAAAGAAAATGAAGTAGGACCCCGGAAATCATTAAAAGTTGATTTCTATCTATTTCTATCCTTAAAAATTATACACATCATCCAATAATATGATGATAACTCATCTTATTTTTTACTTTTAAGAATGAATCAAACATAAGAAATGAGTCACATCATTCATCTCATCTCATCTCAGATTTAAAAATGAGTCACATCATCCAATAATATGGTGACAATTCATCCCATCTCATTAAAATTTGATTTCCATCAATTTCCTCAGAAAAATCATGAAATAGGTTTTCCTAAATACGAGTCACATCATCCAATAATATAATAACAACTCATCTCATCTCATCTCTTTTCTTAGTTTTAAGAATGAACCAATAATAAGAAATGAATCTATTATAGAAAATAGATTTTTTATAATTTATTTCCTTATTTTTTTAACCAACCAAACAACCTCAAAACAAGTCATGAAATATGTTTCTTTAAAAATCATCAACATCATCCAATAATATGGTGACAATTCATCTCATCTTATCTACTTTCTTACTTTTAACCAAACACAAAAAAAGAACCTATTATGTTTTATTTTCTTTGATTTCCTTGTTTTTTTAGCCAACCAAACAGCCCCTAAGGGGGACAGGTACTAGCAATTATATTGGACATGAGGGGTATTTTGGTAATAAGAGGTTGGATTGCCATCGAAGAAAAGCGGCGAGGTTTGGTTTCTTGTGTAGTCGGGTTACACTCTGCCGGAAGCATTCGATTTTGGGTGAGCTCGGTGGATTTGTGAAGACGTTATCGGACCTGGTGGCATCCGTATCAAATGGACCGGATAATATTGAATCTGGTTCACTAATGTCATTTAATGGGCTTAAACAGGCCCACGAAGATGCCACAAAATTGGCCTTACTAATTAATTGTTCTCTCTCTCTCTCTCTAATTGTGTGCTTATTTTGTTTACATATTCGACGCATAAATACAAGTGGAGACACTCTCAGATCGAACAACCCAAAGACCAAGGTGATCTATGTTATTCATGCATAGTTAGAGGGTAAATTTGAAAATTTTAGATGTTGTTTATGGTTACCATCCCGCTTCTACACGATAGTTCTGATCGGATTATTAGTCCATACAAAATGCACACTCAAAACTCTTTTTTTTATATTATATTCTCACTACCTAAAAACTTTTTCCAATCACTAAGTTTTAGAAGAGACATAACAAGAATGAAACGGTTCAATTGAGGCAGATGAGGCTCCACTGCCTATACTTTCATGGCAAGTGAAATGATGCAAGCTCCCCCCCTAAATGAAGATATACATGCACATGGACTAATTTTCAAAATAGACTATTTTAAAAAAATAATTACTATTTTTGACCTAGTTGCAACGTGGACTGAACCTAGGTCAAATTTGATAAATAATTTCTATGAAACTACAAGGGATTGAGAATAGTTAGTAGAAAAGTAAACTCGGTGGGGTTCCCGTAGAGTTTATGGCAAACAAACAACGCAAGATTCACGATTCCTTGTAGTTGGCTAAGTGGCTAAGAGTTAAATTGTGATTTGAAAGGGGATGTGTTTAAATCTTAGCCAAGTAATGAATTATTTTTCATGCTCAACTTCTGAATAGAGACAAATAGAAAAATAAAAGAATGTTGGCGACAGATTCAAATTCAAGACCATTCAACTAATTGAAGTCTAACTCTTTTGATTTAACCACTTTGCCAACTACAAAGAATTGAAAATCCCGTGTAGTTTGTGTGTTATAAACTCCACGGGATTCACAATCCCGTGGAGTTTAGTATGAGTTTTGAACTCTAGAGATTAATTATCTACCGAGCTCTACAGGATTCTTAATCCCGTAGAGTTCGTGGAACATATTCTGCAAATTCTGGCCCAATTTCAGCCCATGTTGCTGATATGACTAAAACTAAGTCGAAATTGCTAACTAATTTGCGACTGCGCCAATTTTGGTGATTAAGTTTCTAAAAGGATTTATTTTGAAATTTTGTCCATACACAAGCGATAGAGTTTTGAACATTCTAACACATGGACTCATGCAAAGTATAGCAGAATACGAAATGTGCCATAAGCGTAAACACATAAAGCCAGGTATAATCATATGATTTGTTACACATATGACCATAAAACTCCATAACTAGATTCTCATAGGATCCGTAACACAACACACAAAACACTAACATAAGATCCTCAACTACATTAATGTATCATTTTAGTACACGGCAAAGAAAAAAGGTCCTAATCTGATAATATCATGACGTTTTCAACTCTAATTAAGATGTTTCTTACCATTGAGGCTAGAATCATAATCCTGATCTGCTCACACGAAACCTGCAGGTGGATCATCGTCATCAGCAAACAACTCCTTTATCATCTCGCCAAGATCATCAAATTCATCGGTTTCCTTGGATACAGTGTACTTATCTACAGCCTGTCCAATGTTTTCGGAGCTTAAGTTATCATTAGGAATTTCGGTGTTGCATTTGATTCCTCTTCGTGTCAAGCATTCTCGAACATATGCCATGTCGAAGACAGGATTATTATCCGATTCATCAGGATCAGAATCGGACTGTTCAAGCTCAAGCATCAGTGCCAACCAAGGATTTGTACGATACAGCTGGTTATCTTTGGATTGTTGTTGCTGCTGCTGCTGTTCTTGAAGTTGAAAGGTAGAAGATGAAGGATTAGCCGATGAGTTGAGTTGTTCAAGGAATGGAGCCAGATTCTTGGCTTCTTGCTTCATCTTTCGAATACGATATTTCTGCGTCAGAGAGGCAGATATAATAGTAATAGCATAGGTAAAATACATGTCCTTTTATACACATGCACATGTTCAAACACAATTTCAGAATTAAGTTTCGCATTATGGTTAGGGACTCATAGCATAGTAATAGACATGTAAAATTGCCATGATACAGTCAAGATTAATATGGACAGGTATAAAACCCTAGAACAGATTTGGGGTTTATATACAAGTTACAAAGAAAACGGGTCTGGAAAACCAACTTAAACCCAAAACCCGATAGTCGGTCGACCGCAGCACCACTGCCGGTCGACCGCAAAATATCCCGAGGTCCAGTCTGCTCTCTGGACAATTCGCGGTCGACCGCAGCGCTTCGTCCGGTCGACCGCCCAAATTCCAGAGGCACACTAAGAGTTGTGTGCACATATCGGTCGACCGCAGCTCCACTGCCGGTCGACCGCCCAACTTCCAGAGGCATACCTCTGTCTTTTCACCAACTCCTCGTATAGCCAAAACAATAGCACACACAAGAACAAAATAGACCACAATAGACACAAGCCAACCAATCACAGCAAGAACACAAGATATACGTGGTTCGGCAATGTGCCTACGTCCACGGGGCAAGGAGGGGGGAGTTTCACTAAACAAATCAAAGGGGAATACAAATTAGGGTTACAAATCTTACCCAAAACCCTCAAACAAGATCACTTGATCTCTCCAATAGACTCCAACAAAATAAGCCCTAGAAAATCCCCTTTGGCAGCTCAAAATCTCCCTTGCATAAAACCCTAGAACAGATTTGGGGTTTATATACAAGTTACAAAGAAAACGGGTCTGGAAAACCAACTTAAACCCAAAACCCGATAGTCGGTCGACCGCAGCACCACTGCCGGTCGACCGCAAAATATCCCGAGGTCCAGTCTGCTCTCTGGACAATTCGCGGTCGACCGCAGCGCTTCGTCCGGTCGACCGCCCAAATTCCAGAGGCACACTAAGAGTTGTGTGCACATATCGGTCGACCGCAGCTCCACTGCCGGTCGACCGCCCAACTTCCAGAGGCATACCTCTGACTTTTCACCAACTCTACAAATCTCCACCTCGGCGAACGTTTATCCCAAAACTGAGCCGACACCAAAACACCCCCAATCAACTTCAACCGGCTGCATCTGTAAGACTGCCTACGTATCCTTTTGCCCAAGGAATCAAGCCGAACGTAGTTCATCCAAATGGCCGCCAACGGCCTTAACAACGAAGAATGTTCAATAAATTCAAACAGTGACCAAACTTCACACCTGGTACAACTTTGGTCAACATATCAGCAGGGTTATCCTTAGTGTGGACCTTCTCCAACGTGACATCACCATCATCTAATACGTCACGTACAAAGTGAAATCTGACATCAATGTGCTTCGTGCGTGCATGGTAGACTTGGTTCTTCGCCAAATAGATAGCTGACATACTATCACAATGCTCAACAACGAAGAATGTTCAATAAATTCAAACAGTGACCAAACTTCACACCTGGTACAACTTTGGTCAACATATCAGCAGGGTTATCCTTAGTGTGGACCTTCTCCAACGTGACATCACCATCATCTAATACGTCACGTACAAAGTGAAATCTGACATCAATGTGCTTCGTGCGTGCATGGTAGACTTGGTTCTTCGCCAAATAGATAGCTGACATACTATCACAATGTACCTGAATGGTCTCCTGTGCAATCCCCAAATCATCCAACAAGCCATGTAGCCACAAAGCCTCCTTCACTGCTTCAGTCACCGCCATATATTCCGCCTCCGTAGTAGAAAGCGCCACTGTAGACTGAAGAGTACATCTCCAACACACCGGTGCACTAGCCAATGTAAAAACATAACATGTAGTGGACCGACACTTGTCAAGATCTCCGACATAGTCTGAATCCACGTAACCAATACAATCCTGCCCTGTCTCATCATTCTTCGCAAATATCAACCCAACATCCACGGTACACTTAATATACCGTAGAATCCATTTCACGGCCTCCCAATGCCCCTTCCCGGGGTTGTGCATGTACCTAGATACCATGCTCACGGCCTGTGACAAATCTGGCCTAGTACACACCATAGCATACATCAAGCTACCCACTGCGCTGGCGTATGGAACCTTGGACATGTAGTCCCTATCCTCTACTGAAACTGGTGACATCAAAGCTGAAAGCTTAAAGTGGGGAGCTAATGGAGTACTCACCACCTTGGTATTACCCTCAAAACTGAATTTCTTCAGCATCTTCTGCAAGTAACTCTTCTGTGTAAGCTTCAATCTCCCCTTCATCCTGTCTCGTTCAATCTCCATACCCAATATCTTCTTAGCCTCTCCCAGGTCCTTCATCTCAAATTCAGATGACAGCTCCTTTTTCAATTTCCCAATAGCTGAAGTGTTCCTGGAAGCTATGAGCATATCATCAACATACAATAACAAATAAATATGCTCACCATCATGTAGCTTGTGCATATAAACGCACGGGTCATAAGGGCTCCTCGTGTACCCTCGGCCAATCATAAAGCTATCAAATCTCTTGTACCACTGTCGCGGTGATTGCTTCAGTCCATAAAGAGATTTCTTCAATTTGCACACCAAATCTTCTCTTCCTGCAGCTTTAAACCCCATTGGTTGTGTCATGTAGATCTCCTCATCTAAATCTCCATGTAGAAAGGCCGTCTTCACGTCCATTTGGACCAAATCTAAGTCCAGCTGTGCCACCAATGCCAATAGTATCCGAATCGACGAATGCTTCACAACGGGTGAAAACACATCGTTGTAATCAACACCTTCAACCTGTGCATATCCCTTGGCAACCAATCTGGCCTTGAACCGAATGTCCCCAATAGAAGATCCCTCCTTCTTAGCATACACCCACTTGCAACCAATAGCTTTCTTACCCTTAGGTAGCTGTGCAAGTTCCCAAGTGTCGTTCTTCTGAAGAGATTGCATCTCCTCCTCCATAGCATTCCTCCACCTAATGGAATCAGGACTGGACTCTGCCTCCCTGAATGTGGCAGGAATCAGATCATCAACGACATCCACCGATAAAGCATATGCCACCATGACATCATCATATCTAGCTGGCTGACGAATCTCTCTCCTCGGTCTATCTGCTGCAATGGACCCCTGAGCATGACCCTGCTCATGAGCCTCGCCATCCACTGTATCCCCTAAATGCCCGACTGTCATCTCATCTCCTCCCCGTGTCACCTCTGTAGGAGTCTCAATGGGAACAGTGCCAACTGGAGTGGGTGGAGTCACATCATCCTCCACCTGCTGCGATATCCCACCTGTCTGATCTTCCTCCACCTGCTGAGGAACTCGAGGCTTCATCATGTACGCCTCATCGAATGTGACATCTCTGCTAATGATCATCTTCTTGTCTTGTGGATCCCATAATTTGAAACCTTTTACACCTTCTCTAAATCCCACAAAGATAGCCTTCCTTGCTCTCGGATTCAACTTCCCATCACTAACATGGAAATAAGCTGGACACCCAAAAATCCGAAGAGTATCATAGGAGTCTTCCCCTCTATCGCAGTGCACGACAACCTGTTAATGAGATGGCTCGCATAAACTAACGCCTCGGCCCAAAAGGATCTAGCCAAACCACTCTGCGTCATCATACATCGCACCTTCTCCAGCAATGTACGGTTCAGCCTCTCTGCCACCCCATTCTGTTGCGGTGTCTCTCTAACTGTGAAATGCCTTCTAATGCCGTGATCCCGGCAAAACTACAGAAATGGATCACTCTTGTACTCTCCACCATTGTCTGAACGAAGAGTCTTTACCTTTCTACCTGTCTGCAGCTCCACTTTCTTCTTCCACTCCACAAATATATCCAGGACCTCATGTTTATGCTTCATGGTATATACCCAATTCCTCCTGGAATAATCATCAATGAAAGTGACAAAATAATTTGCCCTACCAAGTGATGTGTGCTTAGAAGGGCCCCAAACATCTGTGTGAATGTAGTCTAATATACCTTGGGTGTTGTGAATTGCGGTGCCAAACTTCACTTTTGTCTTCTTCCCAAGTATGCAATGCTCACACAGCTCCATCTTGCAGGTCTTTGCACCTTTTAATAGCCCCTGTTTTGCCAATGACTGAAGGGACTTTTTACCTGTGTGTCCAAGCCTCATGTGCCATAGTGTGGTAGTGTCCTCCTCTGTGGTGATAGAAGCAGCCAGACCCTCTGTAACTGTCTTGCCCTTCAAGTAGTATAGGTTGTTTTCCCTGACACCTCGCATCACCACCATGGACCCCTTCATGACCTTCAAACTAGCATCCTCTAATATCACTCTATAACCGGATGCCTCCAAAGTCCCAAGAGAAATGAGGTTCTTCGTCAATTGCGGCACGAACCTCACATCTTTCAATTCCCTGGTCACCCCGTCATGCATTCTGATTCTGACTGAGCCAATCCCACTAATAGGACAAACGTGATCGTTCCCCATGAGCATCACGTCTCCTCTCTTCAACTCCTCAAAGTTGGTAAACCAATCCCTCTTAGGGCAAATATGAAATGTAGCTCCCGAATCAAGCATCCACTCCGTAGAGTCGGCATAACAAACTGACGGCAGTGCAGGGCAAGAATAACCGGAATAATCCGAATCTGAAATGTCGCCAACAACCTTGGCAACATTCACCTCTGAAGCTTGTACAGCTTTCCCCCTTTGCTTCCCGGCTCTATCCTTCAACTTTGGGCACTCATTCTTCCAATGTCCCTCTTCTTTGCAAAAGGCACATTGATTTCTACCAACACTTTTATGGCCACCGCTATTCTTTGATTTTGAGCAGTTGAACTTTTGACGGTTTGGAGCACGGCCACGAACTGCAAGTGCATCACCCGATGCCTTCTCGGAGGGCTCACAATCATTCTTCCTCAGCTCATAATTCACCAATGCCGAGGTCACCTCCTTGTAGCTAACTGTAGTTCGCCCATTTATCATAGTGAGAACAAAGGTGCTAAACTCCTCATATGGCAATGAACACA